GAGTATCATGCTCTTGCTGATTCTACATCCGAACTTTTATGGCTACGTTGGTTACTGTTTGATCTTGGTGCCCCTCAGTCCTTATCTACTACTCTTCATTGTGACAGTCGGAGTGCCATATAGATTGCTCATAATGATGTCTTTCACGAGCGCACGAAGCACATTGAAATTGATTGTCATTTTGTACGGCAACATGTGGTTTCCAAGACTATTTTGTTGCGTTCGATCCCCACAAACGATCAACCGGCAGATCTCTTCACCAAATCTCTTCTTTAGGGTCGTTTCCATCTTCTTTTAGGCAAACTCAAGTTGATGTCTACGGCACCACCTTAAGTTTGAGGAGGGATGTTAGTATATATATAATATTGTATATATATACATATTTATCAAAATACCCTTGTACATATAAAGTAGAGTTTATTGTGTTTATTGGAATATAATTCAAAAATTCAACTTCCCAAAATCCCCAATAATTGACAAAGACAGTTTACAAATGAGGTGTGATTGTTCTTTATTTTTTTATTTTATCAAATTTATAAATTTGGTAATGTTGCCTAGAAAATTGAATAATGGAGAAATTATGGATATAAAATAGTTAGTTTATTCAAAATACAAAGATAAAATATATTTTTTTGTTGTAAATTATTCAAAAATAATAATTTCAAGAGTTTGTTGGCTAACGATTGACTAATGATTGGAAGCATCTAGCGGAAAAACTTAAACAACGTGAAAATAATATTGAACACATAACACATATGAATATTTGGAATGAATTAAAAATGAATTTAAATAAAAATCAAACAATTGATAAAGATATTGAACTAAAAATTATAAAAGAAAAAGAACGTCCAAAGCAAATTTTAATAAGAATAATATCGGTTGTAAAATATCTTTCTAAACATAATTTAGCTTTTCGAGGATCAAGTGAAAAATTTTATCAAAATGATAATGGTAATTTTATGGATAATTGAAATGATTGCAGAATTTGATGTAATCATGCAATATCATATTAGACATATTCAAAATAATGAAATTCATTATCATTATCTTAGCCACAAAATATAAAATAAATTAATTTCTTTATTAGCTCATAGTGTTAAAAATTCTATCATCAAAATTATTAAAGAATCAAATATTTTTCAATAATTTTGTATTGTACTTCGAATATTAGTCATCGCGAACAAATGACATTAATTGTAAGATGTATAAACATGTCAAGTAGTAATATCAAGATAGAAGAATGATTTTTACAATTTTTAAAAGTAAAATATACAAGAAGTTTAAGACTTTTTAATGAGTTAAAAAATGCACTTGAAGCCTCGGGTCTTAATATTAATAATATAAGAGGCAGGGCGGCTGTTAGTAGGAGCAGGGTGAGCAACTGCTCAGGGCCTCTAATTAACAGATGACCCATATTTTAAAATTGTATTATGCATTATTATTATTATTATTATTATTATTATTATTATTAAATTTTAAATTTTAAAATTAAATTTAACTTTTAGTTTATATTTTTTCTTCTTCATAATTATTCAATTTAATTTTAAAATTAAATTTTAAACTCTAATAATATATACTTTCTTATCTCTTCTTCCTAATTATATCTTACCATCTTTACAAATTTAATCACCGTCTACGTTTCTCTACCTCACACCCTGTCACGCTGCCTCCACCAACTCAAACCCAACCTGCCCCACCTTCTCTCTTATCTCTCTTTTACCCTCACTCAATCCTTACTTTTTGAACCTTCGGATAGTCCGTCTTTTATTTTCTTTTCTCAAATACTACTCAGACCGTCGCATTGAATCTCTTGTCCAATCGACGTCAATCAGTGATACTATTTTGAAAATACATTTTAATCATGTGTTTATAGGGACCTATAATTAATTTTTCGCTCAGGGCCTCAAAAAAATCTGAGACGGCCTTGATAAGAGGTTAAGGTTACGATAATAGTTCTAACATGAAAGGTAAACGTCAAGGAGTTCAAAAAAAGATTACTTTATATAAATCTTAAAGCATTATATATGGTATGTATTTGTCATAGTCTTAACCTTACTATTTGTGATATGACACATTCTTGTACGAAAGCGATTTCATTTTTTGAAATTGTTCAGCGTTTATCTACATTATTTTTAAGTTATACCAAAAGATAGAAAATTTTATTTTATAATGTTTCAAATTTAACTTTAAACTCTTTTTCAAATACCCATTGGGAAAGCCGAATTAAAAGTATTAAATCTATTAGATTTCAAGGTCCTCAAATTAGATTAGCATTAGATTTAATTAATTCTTGTGACGATGTTAAATCAAAAAGTGAAGCAGAAAATTGGATTAATTCACTTGAATCTTATAAATTTTTATTAGGTATGATTATTTGGTATGATATTTATTTGTCATTGATAGTATAAGTAAAAAATTACAAAATGAATTTGTTTGCATTTGTACTGCTATGAAAAAATTAGAAAATGCTTTATTATTTTTTTTAAAATATAGAAACGAATGATTTTATACTAGTATGAATATTGTAAAAGAAATTGCTACTGATATGGATATTGAATGTATTTTTCCAACTAAACGTAAAATTTTTTAAAAAAAAAAGTTTGATAATGTTGATCAAAATGAAGAAGTTCAAAGAGGAGAATAATTTTTTAAAGTTAACTATTTTTTTAATTGTAGTAGATATGACAATTGCCTTATTAAATTATATGTTTTAGTAACTAAAAATATTTAACAAAATATTTGGTTTTTTATTTAATTCAAATAAATTAAAATCTTTAAAAGGTAAAGAATTAAGATAATGTTGTAATATATTTTCAAATCACTTTTTTTAATAACAATATATCTGATATTGATTTAGAAGAAACTATCCAATAATTAAAAGTTTTGCAAATTATTTTACCAAATAATTAAAATCACCAATAAAAATTTTCTTATTTACTAAAGTTGCGGATTGCTATCCAAATGTTTCAATCGTTTATCGTATATTATTAACTGTGTCCATAATTGTAGCATTAGCTAAAAGTTGAGTTTTTCAAAATTAAAATTATTGAAAACTTATTTAAGATCGTTTATGTCTCAAGAGATTAAATATTTATGGATGATTATCAAAAACTTATTGAAAAAAAAATGTTAGATAAAATTGATATTGATGCTATTATTGATGATTTTGTTTTTAAAAATATTAGAAGAAGTTGTTTTACTTGATTATTTAAAATTTATTATAGATAAAAAAAAAATTATATATAGGGGCTCTTTTTTTTTCGCCTTGGGCCATCAAGTCCGAACCAGTATTAAAATTCAGCACTATAAGCGTATGCCATATACACATATAGATATAGAAATAAGGAATATATGATATAAATGAAACAATAAAATTAAGCAAAATAACACAATAAATTACATGTATATATACAATAATAGGAAGGAGCAATACTCATTTTATTGTGTTATTGCATGTATATATTAATCTTTCATTTTAATTACATTTAATCTCCCTAATTTTTTAAATTTACATTATACGTGACAAACTAGATGGGACCAAATGAGCATTATAGGTGTGTTTGTTTTCTATTTTAGTTAGAAAGAAATTTATTTTAGTTTGAAAGATTTTTTTTTTTTTTTTATGTGAAACAATAGAAAATTGTGTAGATAATATAAAAATAATAACTATATGCAATATATTAATTTTTTTAAAAAATATGTTTTGAAAAATTTTGATCGAAAGAAGAAAGCCTATATTCGTTAGCTATTTATTCGTTATCTGGACATTAAGATTACTTATTTTGTTAGTTCAAAAAAAAAGTATTAGTGTGAAAATAATTATATCAGAACTCATACCATTTTAGTTTATATATGTATATAAATAAATACATCTTCTGTTCATAAACTAATTTTCTATTTAGGACGTCCAACAACTATTGTCTTATTTTTTTTTTAAACACAAATTTTACTTTTAATATCTACCGTACATTAAGGGCAAATTTGTCTATTCATAACAAAAAGACAATCACCTAAAAACCCGTGCAAATATACTATAGGACAATATAAATTGGACGGATAAAGTAGTATATAAAGAAATTATTACTATAATAAATAGTATAAATGTAGGGTCTATTAAAAAAAATCTCAAACTTTTGTAAATTTTTTTTTAACAGTATGGGTCCCATCAATCTCATACATAATAAAAAATAATCATTCTTTACCATCTGCCATGTTAGTTTAAATCAATTTTCACCGTACAATAAAAAATAATAATAGTACTATATATTTCCTACATGCTATGTCACATTTTTATTTCTGTTTTCTTACAACTTAATATTATTTTTTTAAAAAATAAAAAAATACTATACTTTTAATTATTTTAATATTTAATTTATAATTATTCTTACTAAGATATGCTTAATTATTTGATAATCAAACTCCTAAATACTCATATATATATATATATATATATGAGTAAATGAAAGTAAATCAGTATAAATATGAAAGATAAAAGAGAGATTTTATTTTATTTATTTATTTTTTTTAAAAAAAATAAATTCAGTTAATAATAATTAAATTTTTTATTAATAAATTTAAATAAAAAATAGAATGAAACGTAATATTTATAAAGATATATATAATTATTAAATATAAAATTATTAATTTAATTTCTCTAATAAATACTGACGAAAGTTCGCGAATAAACTCGATCTCGTTTGTGAACATAACGAGCCAAACTTTATATTTGTGTTCGGCTCGCTTAATTTAACAAACGAGCTCTTAGTGAGCTCTAGCGAGCCGAACTAAGCCAAGCTCGCGAACTGTTCGTTAATTTTACAGCTCTAGCTATTATATGACTAAGATTAATCATAAAACATTTTCCATGGTAATATTTTTCTAAGAAACCAAAAAGGAAAACGCCTAAACACTGTAATAACCATATTTTAACTTGTCTTTTCTCCGGCGAGCCGGCGAGTGAGTCCTAATTTCGACTTCAAAAGCTCGGTAAATCAGTCATCGAATACGAATAATTACGGCACATTATTAGTAAAATAGTATGCAAACCTCGAGCCGATCGACTGTCGCGCGACTTTACAACCATCCGGCGTCTCCGAAAGTATCACATAACATAACAATAATAATCGGGTTCGCAAAAGTCATTAGCATTCAGAAATTCCATCGAGCGAAGAAGTCGACTATGATCGAAAGAAAGTATCTCAGAATCGCATCCTTTTCATCCTCCCGTCGCCACCATACCCGTCGTCATGCCAACCTCGTTCCATCGCCTGCTCGTCCATATTCCTAACCCGTCTCGGCCGTCCCTCGAATTCCCTACCCCGCACGTTCCCGCTTCTTTCGATAAACTCACCGTCCGCGTCCGGCGGACAAAATCGATACGGTCTAGCCGGGCCATTGCTCTGATGAAATTGGAAATCGTCGCTATCGCCGCTGTACATCGGGCGAAACGGACGGGCAGGCAGGCCCCGCCTCTCGATAAAGTTCCTCCTCTCGTCGGCGGCGCTCCCGTCGCCGCCGCCGTGAAACTTGTATTCCTTCCCGCCGTCTCCCATTCCATGAGAATCGATCGTATCCGACCTTCTGCCGTGCCTAAGAAAACCTCGGGCGGGCGGGGTTCGCCTGGGTCTATGATTAGTATGATCTCGTCCCGAATCGACGTTCCTATACGGAGAAACTCGACGTCTAGGGATAATATCCTCGTGAAAACAATCATGTTCCGGAGATCTCATCCTTCCCATTCGATACATCGTTTCGGCAGGCGGCCCGTTAGGAGATCGTCGGCGGGGAGATAGCCACGGCCCAGGCGACCGTGTTCGGGACCTAGCGGGAGATTTTGAACCTATTCGAAGGTAACCGTTTCGGAAATTGCGATTGCCTCGCATAAGCTGGTCGTCGAGTTCATCGTACACTTCTTGCTGTCGACCGTAAACGGGATCAATCATATCTTCGGATAAATGCCTCATAAACTTATTGTCGTGCCGAATTCCGACCATGTCAGAACAACCATCGTCGACACACTGACCCGGCCCCATATTTCTAGAAAATTGGTGCATCGTTTGGAAATCCCGCGTATCCGCACCATCCCTACTACTACCTCCGCCGGGAGAAAATCTCCTAAACGACGGTCGTCGAAGCGGAGAGAATTCGTCGCTAACCTCTTTTCTTCTTCCATTACCCAAAGCTGTAACATCATGTGGAACTCCATAGCCATTGTAATCAAGGTCATTAGGAACAGCAGAAGTGTGCTTACGTCTCATGGGCCGATTATCAGATGAACCTCGGTAATTTTCAGATACAAAGCTGTGATCGGAGTCCCATTCCCTGCGCAATGAGCCGAACCGGCCGGAAGTTCTTCCTTTTCCACGCATAAACGAATTCCGGAATGTCCGATCATGAACCCTATCTTTAAAAAATTTCTTCGAACCACCCATGTAGAATTCATCTCTGTAAAATAAAAATAGCAGAAGAAACAAGAATGTAAAGTGATCGACGAAAAATCACATACCGTAGTAAAACTAAAACACCTCGCAGCACGACAAGATAAATCACCTATTATTCGCTCGTGGTTGAGCATCACCCTCAATATCCGGATCGGAGTATCTCTCTTTTCCACTTCTTGATGTCGGCAACCTATTTGGTATTATTGGTCTTGTTTTAGCAGGGGCAGTCGCAACCGAAGTGCGAGACAAGTTTATAATACGGCTCTTGTTGCCTATATTGTTAGAATCTTTCGTAGTATCGTTGTCATTAAATGATGTGTCCTCTTTGGACAAAGTCGAGTCATTCTCGCCCGAGCAGATCTCTTTAATAGCTGCCTTGTTGGCAGTCTCATCAGCAGCCGATGTCTTCATCCCATGAATACCTTTATTCGGTGAATTAATAAATGCTTCTTTCTCGGCACTTCTTTCAACAGCCTTTTTCCCCGAAGCATTGAGCCGTTTACCTGGTTCGGCAGCAATCACGGATTTCACGTCAACTCTTAGTTCAGTCACATTGTCTGATACACTTTGAGAAGGGCAGTCTTCATTCTTAGGTTCATAGCATATGCTGACTCGATCTTTAACCATGTCGCCGCAGTCTTTCTTGGCATTGGAATTCTCAGCACTGACAGAATCGGGATCTTGTGAATTTCGAGAAATTCGCTCGACAAGTTTCACATTCTCAGTCTTCTCTTTCTGATTTTCTCCTGTCGAATCTTGTGAAGGATCTCGAACCTCACCGTCCTCGTATTCTTCGTATTCCTTGTTGCTGCCATTTTCGTCATCTATGTCCATCTCCTGTGATTCAGAATCGGACCCAAAAGCATCGTCTTCGAGTATATCAGCCGGAATATTAAACTTCTCCTCATCATTTCCAGTCACATCATTTGATGGAGCCAATTCAGATTTACCAGAAGCTTCGGGATTTGATTTCTTCGTATCCTGGCTGACAGAATTAGAAAACATACCAACATTTAGCTCCTCAGATTTATCATTGTGATCCTGTGACGATTCTTTACTGGGGTATGCATGTTCAGTATGATTTGATGAAGCAGCCACTGTTGAAGGACGCGAATTCTCAGGCATGGATAGTGCTGGAACGACAGAAGAAGATGCACAGCTCTCTTGATGTTGCATAACCTGGACAACAGATTCCGGTAGCACAATGTCTTTACTTTTTTCTCGGAAATGACCCTCAACTGCTTCAGATTTCATCGATACATTGTCAACTAATTTCGCTGGACTAGCTGTCGGAGGCTCTAGTTTCACAGAATTTAACTTTGATAATCCCACCTTATCACTACTGCAACTGCCTATGCTAAAGTCACACTTTGAGTTATCATCAATGGGCTCTGATTTCACTGCCCTATTCAAACTTACAGCTGTTAGTCGTACGGGTTGCAAATTCACCTGCGGACTTACCCTAGTAGGTGCTAGTTTAGCCAGGGATGGACGATCAGTATTCGCAATTGATTCCCTAAATGGCATGGCAAGTTTGAGGCCAAGCGAATCATCAGTCTTGGAGTGGAGACTACTTTGTAAAGAAGCATCGACAGAAGTGGATCTACAATCATCCACACAATGTTTCCCTTTATTCAAATAAGGGCCAAATGCGCCAGAAGCATTCAAAACCAATTTCGCATCATTGCTTCTGTTTGACTTACCCAAATCGTCGCTTTCAACATGCTGGTGAGCAGTGGAATTTTCAATACCAGAATCAGAACCCTCCCATGCATCCATAATTGTATTTAGATCCCAACTCGACCTATTAACACGGACTCCACTGCCTGTAGTATTACTATAATTACTATGCAGAGAATGATTTTCTCCAATTGGAGCCAAACTCAACATTGTAGGGTCTGATTTCTCAAATCTAGCAGGAGAAGGCAGTTCTCTTGGCCCCAGTGACAATTCTATATTCATTGAACTCATAGACAGTTCAAGTCTAGGTGCATCTCCGACCTGTGCTCTACCAATTTCCTGCTTCACATTTGTTGTCTGACCACTAACGGAGCTTCCCGGAACTCCTGACCCTGTCTGTTTTTCAGTTGAGATAACATCACTTTTGTTCCTCGAATCATTCACCGAACCTAAACTAACAAACGGTTTCGCCTCACGAGGCTTGGATGCAAGAATATCAGCATTAGTTTGTCCCAATTCCAAATTTGTTGGAGTAAATACTTCTTTCTTAACTAGGAAAGCAGATGTCTTGCTTGCATCAGAATTACCCAAAGAAGCTTTATGCCTCTCATCACTCAGGGATAAGTTTCCACCAGGTAGGCTTGATTCCTTTTTGTCCTTTGGATCATTCGAACTCGAATCAGAAGCCTTTTCTTCTGCAGAAGACAACCCTGGCTGGATTATGGGAAATCTTCTTTTCTTAATAGGTATTGCACTGGAAAAATGAACAGAAGACTGGTGTTGCTCATCTGGATGCCCAGATGTTGCCCCAGGCTGCCGCTAAATTGCATAAATAAGAGAAAATTCAATCAACAAAATTCAAATCAGAAAATACCAAACAAATTAAGATTTAGAGAATGAACATAAAAAGGAGGATGAAAATAGAAACCTCTGAATTTCCTGGAATTGACATGAGTCAGGAACTTAATGCCCCTGCAAAAAACCAACAGTAGATTATAGCATAATTAAAGGTGTAATTATACTGCCTTATGATAAAGATTTGACTCCTGCACGATCTGAAGGCAAAACCGACTTAATGATGTTCACAATTTCTAACCCTAGACCAACTTCCAGCGTCAAAAACACTTGGAACTTTTAAGGCAGTTAGCAAGCAAAACCGCTAAATTCATGTTCATTCGCAACTGCGCGACACAAAAGTCAAAAAATCTTATCAGAATCGGAACGAACGAAGGAAATTCATCGCAGATAAATCCTTCCTTACGCAGTAACACACACCGCACAGTGTTAATTACTACAAGAAACCTATCGATTGATTAAGAAAAAAAAAAACAATAAAGAAAACAAAGAAACCTTTAAATCAGTAAATCAAAAGCGAAACAATCACCAGTAAAAATCAACACAACCAAAAACAGGACCGAACCGAAAGGAAAATCAGATCGGAAGCGAAATCGGTAAGCGGGCGGCGGCGGATTCCTCGCAGGAAACCTCAACCAAACCACAGTTGCAGGCAAGAAGAAGAAGAAAAAAAGCCTAGATGCACCGCCACATGAACAATTACCTAGTGAAATCTGAGAAGGATCGGAGGGATGAATGCGGATTTGGGGGAAAAGCGGAGATGGATTGTGGAAAGGGAAAGGGAAATGGGAAAGAAAGTGTGAGAGGATGACCAAAAGCAGGGAAGAGAAGAGAAGGGAGAAGAGCGAAGGAAAGGCAGGCAGGAGGTTTCCAAGTGGTTGCCTTTGGCTTTGCTGTGCATACAAAAATACACATCACAATATATATATATATATATACATACATACATACGACGCTCGCTACAAATAAATAGTGCTACTGTAATTGCAATGATTCTCACTCTCTATCTGTTCTATTCTTCGGTGTGAATGCGATTGAGAAACAATTGGATATGGATTTTTAGGGTTTTCTCTTTCCACAATTACAACCATACATTAAAACCACGATGATAAATTATTATTATTATTATTATTATTATTATTCGGGTTTTTTTTTTTTTTAATGTGGATTGAATTTGTAGATATTTTTTTATTTAAATAATATTTGACCTATTGCTTTTTTTAAAAAAAAAAATAGTGGGAAATGACACCCAGCTGATCTAATGCGAATCGTTTATAGTAATTAGATATGATGAACGGTTTAAATTACGCATATGTAATATAATAATTCTTATTTTAGAGACTTACAGGGCATAAGAACCCTTCATTTTCGAATTGTTAATCTTCTCTCCTGTAAATACGTTTCTTCAAATGCTTGGTATGTAGTAAAATGTTTGGTTTAATATATATAAATGCTGGCAAGTTTAGAATGACTGTTGCATGTTTCTAGCGAAAACATACCCTGCTTCCGCTAGAAACATATTTTTTTTTGTAAAAGTTGACTGCTCTCCGCGGAAACAAGCTCGGTTTCCACGAGCTCGCGAAAATAGAACTTGTTTCGCGGAATTTTTTTTTTAAAAAAAAAAAGAAAATTGCATGATTTCAGAGATATTTTTTTAAAAAAAAAAATTGACAATTAATTTTGCAGTATTTTCTGGAATAACATTCATATCATTAGATAGTTCATTAATATCCTAAACTCACTTGTAGAAAATGTTTATTGGTACTTAATAAAATGCTTATTGGTATTCGACAAAATATTTGGTCTTGTATATGTAAGTGCTTAATATCAATTATTCACAATACTTTGCAACTAAATCATGTATGAACTAAAAAAATAATCAATTTCCTTGGATTTATCGTGCTAGTTATGCCTTTTATTCATTATTCGATGCTTCTTTTGTTTCTTAGAGTTGTTGATTGACACATTTCTTTTAATTCTTCTTTTTAGATTGTCTCTTGACTTCAATATTAAATGGTATGCAGTTGTTCTATTTTGTACTTCTTCTTTAGCATGAAGAATCAATTAGTTTAATATCATATATATTTCAATGAATATAAAATATATACGAAACGTAACTGTTATTTTAATCTGTCGGCATTCCTCCATACAAATTTGGGCATGTAACTGTGTTATGAAGCAATTCATTGAATTTATGTAAGAATGAACTGTAATTTTTCGGCTCAGATGCTATTAACTTTGCAGAATTCATGAACAAGTGGCACAATGATTTGTATCTTCCTGAAAAATCCATTTTCTCCCGACTAGATGTTAAGCTTGTGTGGTGCTGTTGTAATATCCTTTTAGCATCTTTTCTCCATTGATTCAATATGTATTTGTTTGGGATGTTTTTGAATGTGCACACCCTGTTGCTACTAATACATCCATTGTGCGTATTGAATGACAACACAATATTCCGGCATTTTTCCACATATTGCACGTACACTCAATTGAAAACTCTTGAATATTTACACACACAAGATATTGATTCTTGTCTTCTCCGTGTTATATACAAGATATATTGTCTTTTCATCTAAGTATTGTGTTATGAATTCAAAGGATCTTTGATGTTGCTCTTGAAACCATTGAAAAAATATTTGGTGTGTAGAACATAACTGCAGATTTCATTAATGGGTTGAACATATAATTTGCAGCCAACCGTCTATCACGTGCGAAAAATCCTGTTGTTCTTCTTTTTCTCTATGATTTTCCATCACTCTTTGAAATTGATGAAGAAATTGAACAATATTATTATCTGGCTGTACAAACCTGCTCAGCATATTCACGTTCATTCAACAACATATATAAAGAATATACTCAACATACTAATCTATTAATATGAGCAGACAGGTCAAGTAAAGAAGCATGTCCAGTTGCATAAAGCATAGGGGTTTGTAGGTTGCATTTTCAAACATTTTCAATGAAAAGTTAGTGATTCACTTAGTTGTGTTGTTCCCATCCCTGCACTAAAGTGTTGTCTTGTTCAAGCCGAAGACCATTGTTGTCTCAATGAATAAATGTTTAGTAGTCACTTATGAGGCTCTTTGGGGAAGTATGCCTGCAACATATATTCCCACTGAAGCCTGAATTAGTTTCATCTTGTAACCCATAGAGAATATGTTGAAACATTTTAGCAAACCTGTGTGTTCAACGCAAGTAGAGTAGTTGTAATTGGTATTTTCGATTGTTAAATTCATCATTTAGCTGTAATAACTTCAACATACCTTATAGTGTAAAGAGCACTGAGATTTTTTTTGGCATTTTGTACAATATGCCATGTGCACGGAGTATGGTATGTCGTTGGCATTGTCTCTCTTAGTGCTGGAGTCATAGCCAAATCTTGATTTGTAAAAATAGTTTTTGGTGCTTGTCCGCCCATGCACTTCAAGAAGATATTCAAACTCCACTTAAATGAATCTTGTGTTTCCTCGTACAACAAATCCGCCCCAAATATAGATGTTTGGCGGTGATTATTAAATCCCACGAAAACACCTAATAGTGCAATATTGTTACGATCAGATACATATGAGACGTTGTATACAATGCATAAAGATGCTAACATATACTCGCTCCGTCCCACATACCGTGTCTGCTACACTGTAGACACAGTATTTTAGGAATGATGTAATTAGTAGATAATTAAGAATGTATTAGTGAAAATAATTATCCTATAATGTAAATTATTATAAATTAAGATTAAGATAACTAATTAATTTAATTAAAATTAAAAAAATTAATTAAAAAATTTAAAATGAGATTAAAGTGTATAATCATTTTCCAAAAAAGGAAAGTGACATGGTATGTGGGACGGACGAAAACAGCAACGTTGACATGGTATGTGGGACGGAGGGAGTAGTATTTACAATTCTGATTAATTGAAGATGAAATGCTGACTATGCACAGATAAAAATATTGTATGTTTTATAGTGGTCTGTAGTTCTTATTTATTTGGTATGTGGTATTAAACGTAATAGAATCCTCAAACAATGCATAGCCTTCCCTCATTTTAGCATCTGATCAAAATATATTAGCAATCTTATCTTCAGAATCGACTTCAATTTCATAAAAGAAAAAAGGATTATCTATTGATCTTTGGCCAAAGTATTGCAGTAATGCATTTACTTCGCCTCCTTGAAAATTTCTTTCCTTATTTTCTTCTTTGCATTCACCTTGTCAAACTAAAGTTGTATCTTTGAATTACAGCATGTTCTCGTTTCATGACTACGATGCATGGTCTTGATCCTTCCTAACTCGCTGTATTGTTTTGGATGATTCTCAGTATTATTTGGTTTCACATTGCTACCCTCTTTGAACCCTGTTTATTGCAACAATACTATACATATTGTATCTGATATGGGTCTCTTTTGAACTTTTTCTGCATTTTTATCCTCACTGAAAAGCCCCTATTGTATACATATTCACAATAGAAATTGTATATATCATCCGGTTTTGTAAATTCCATTATGGACTCTGCACATATTGAATGCTAGATTATGTAAATCAAAATGCTGACTACCATATCATAATATGCTTTCAGATAAATGGCAAGATGTTGATCTTCGTGTCAAATACAATCACATATCATGATGGTAATTAAAAAGAGATGTTGTTCTCTTCATAGGGAAATGCTGATGTTACTTGAAAAGTATATTGCATCATATTTTTTAACAGTATTTTGAATGCTTTAATTGAATTGCGAATGCTAATATACATTTACGAAATTCCAATCCGATAAACTAAATTTAGTAAATTCAATGAAATAGGTCGCAGAAGGTACAATGTTCACGATTTTAAATCAATTGTCGATGAGTAACTTACGCGATTGAGCGATTTTCCGTTCCACCGTGTCTGGTATTGGCGAGAGTGCTAGATCATCCGAAATTGCAATCTCTTCGATGTCTCCGTTGCTTGTTGAGCGATTGATTGAGGTTGGAATAATGGATAATTGATTTTACTCATCTTCGTCGATATTAGCCGTTGAAAAATGAAGAAGAGTGAAGAATGAAGGATGGCGTTTGTTCTCCCCACCAATTGTTGCGCGAAGAATGAAAGAGAGTGAGGTTTGCGTGAAGAACGGCGAAGAATGATGTTTGCTTGAAGAATGAAGAAGACTGAGGTTTGAGGTAGTTATATAAATTAGGGATGCTAAAATTACAATTACACCCTTAATTTAATATTAGTCATTGGATTAAAATTTTTAATCCAATGGCTAATATGCAATCAGCACAATGCTAATGCTTAATGATCAGCATGCAATCCCACCCCAAAATGGTGTGTGCGTGTTTTTTTTTTTAAAAAAAAAATAATACATATTTGCTCGAAAAATTAGTACTCTCTCTGTCCCTTAACAATCTATTCAATTTTTTTATTTTGATCCGTCCCATAATAAAGTATTCATTTCCTTTTATAATAATTGTACTATCTCCCTAACATTACAAACGTCCTTGCAATTTACAATATATTATACAAATGTCATTACATTTATATCATATAATACTAATAACGGTAGTTTAGTTTTTTTACTTTTATTTTTCTACTACATCCCAATATAATACTAATATTTCTAAAACTATATGCAAAAAGTAAATAGATAGATAAATATGAGACGGAGGGAGTATATTATACATATTTATTATTTTTATATTATTTAGACAAATTCTTATATCTCGAATGAAAAAATATCCTTTCAAATTATTTGACAAAATAAAATGCACCTTATACTATGTACTCCCTCCGTCCTGGTTAAGATGACCCTTTTAGTTAGAAATACGATGTTTTAGATAGTGTAAATTAGTAAGTTATTAATAATAAATTATATATTACTTTATTATTTTTTATTAGTAGTGTTCTTGTTATTTTAAATATTTTTAGCATTAG